TTACTTAAAGAGACCTAGATATTTTTCACACTACTCGAATTCATCCTATATCATATATAAATATGAAAGTTATGAATGAAAACAATATAAAATTGACGACCTCCGTGACCTAGTGGTTTTTACGCCTGGTTTCATAGTGTCGCCGACAGATCTGTGGGGCAGATTTTTGTGTGATGAATACGAGCATTTATACTCCAGTCATGGATGTTTAATATGTATTTCTATATAAATATATTTATATATGTACAGTAGATATATGTATTCTATCCGTTACTCTAGTATTCCATAACACAAGCCTTACAGTGCTTACTTTGGGGCTAGGCTAATTGGTGTGAGTGTTGGAAATATTTATTTTATTTATTTATTTAAAATCAGTATTTCGTTTCGTAGTTTTATAACAGTAGGTACTTTTAATATTAAATTAGCGAATACGTATTTCATAGTTATACGCCTACGCTACACTTAAAGGGGTGTAATGGGGTTGTTTTTGCCTCACTGAGTAACGGCCAGCCCTAGCTTTTGGACCTAGAACGCATTAAGGTTGCCTTTATGACGTATGTATTAAAAAAAAATAAGTAAGAATATTTTGAAATTCAACTTCTAAAGCGGTAAAATGGGGGTTTAAAATTTGTATGAGGAAATAAAAATAAATCAATATTTGTATCTGAAGATAAATAATAAATAAATATTTCCAACACTCACACCAATTAGCCTAGCCCCAAAGAAAGCACTGTAAGGCTTGTGTTATGGGATACTATAACCATAGTATATAACCATATTATAACCATAGTTATGGGATACTATAGCCATAGTACCACTACTGCTCTCACCAAAGTTCTTGAAGATGTCCGGGATGGCCAAGAAAATGCTCGTCTGACACTATTAGTTTTTATTGACTTTTCAAACGCTTTTAACGCTGTCGATCATGATATTCTCATAGCTGTCCTTTCTCGACTAGGATTCTCATCTTCAGTGCAGAAGTGGTTTACTTCTTATCTTCGAGATCGCAGGCAGGCTGTTTGTTTCAACCAGGAGTTATCCGGTTGGCGCGAGCAGACTGCTGGTGTTCCACAAGGCTGTATTCTTTCTCCTTCACTCTTTTCTTTTTTCATAAATACTCTCACAGAACTTCTAACTTCTTCTTACCATCTGTATGCGGACGACTTACAACTGTACGCCAGCAGCGACAGCCATCATTTGAATGAGGCTGTCGCTAGTCTAAATCGAGATCTCAGTGTGATCAATGACTGGTCAGCTTCTTTTGGTATTTCAGTAAATCCTACTAAGTATCAAGCTATCATTGTTGGCAGTTCTCGTCTGCTGACCCAAATTGACCTTACTAGGGTTAATTCATTATCTTATGATGGAGTTGTTATTCCTTTTTCGACTCAAGTGATGGATTTGGGTTTAATTATCGATGACAAACTTTCGTGGATAGACCATGTCGATTTCGTCTCGCATAGGGTGACCAATTCTTTGAGATCTCTATACAGGTTTAAGTTTTTTCTGCCTATTCGCACCAAGATTGCTCCTGTTCAATCTTTAATTCTGCCTATTATCGATTATGCCGACGTATGTTATCCAGATATTAATGAAAATCTTTTAAATAAGTTGGATCGTCTTCTCAATAACTGCATTCGCTTCATATATGGCTTACGTAAATACGACCATATCTCACATTTTCCTCATCAACTCAAATGGCTTCCTATTCGTGAGCGTAGGAACCTAAGAGTTGTTTGTGCTCTTTTTAATCTTCTTTACGATCCACATACACCAGCTTACCTGAAAAGCAGATTTAGGTTTCTGTGTGATTCTCATGACCGTGTCCTCCGTTCAACGGACAACCTCCTTCTGCATACTCCCGTCCACTCTTCTGGCTTCGTCTCATATTCTTTCACCATCACGGTTGTACGACTCTGGAATGACTTGCCCCCTAATATACGTAAAGCTCCTAACAAATTTGTATTTAAGGGATTGGTTCGTGAGCATTATCTCAATATAATTAATCTGCGTTCTCATACTTGACTGGCATAATTATGTGTATGTATGTATTGTAGATATAGCATATATATTTACATGTAGGTATGTAGTGTATATATATTTTAATATTTGTGTATTCTATTGATATATATATTACCTACCTGGTTTATTTAGCATATGTCCATATTGCACGCCCGTATTTTTAGTTCTTACGATTTTACTGGTCGACTGGTAGAGAATGCCTTATGGCATTATGTCCGCCAAATGCTGTTTGTTTTGCAATAAAGTATAAATAAATAAATAAAATACTAGGGTAGTGGATAGAATACATATACAGTATATGCCAACAAAAAACGTTTAATTTTAACATAGCTTTTTTACGGATTGTTTGAAAATTTTTTATTGGTTTAGTTTTCACCGTTATTTTTTTTAATTTTTTCCCCTACCGAGAATTTTATAAATATGTAGAGTTGACCCATATTTTGATTTTAAATATATTAATTGGGCGCTAACATCGTCTAGTCGAAGGACCGCGATTAGAGAAAGTTTCATGCGTACCTAATTATGAAAAAAAGGAACCTTTCTTTAGTAGCAATGAAATACTATAAAGTTTAGTTTTTTTTTCTTCGCGCTTGGACTTTATCACCACTGAACATCAGTCATTTGCCTACATAGCTATAAAAAAAGGTATTTTCGTCTACCATTTATCCACACCAACTCGGCTGTCGTCGGGGACTAATAAAGTTTTCATTGTTTTCGAGACAGTCCGTTGACGTACTTTAATAGGAGCATTTTTTTGGTAAAAATATATTGTATTGATTTATAATAAATTGTCTCACAATGAGTAGAAGCATTTACTAAATTCCACTTTGGTTACCTGACCAGACGAATGCCAGTCAAAACTTGTACGTAAAAATCACAGATTTTTTTAAAGTTGGAAGGGACTTTTGTTATTGATGTGAGCTGAAATTTTGAAGAATGCGCTATATAACCACTTCAAGAGCGTTTTATCTTGCGCATGGCCTCCGAGAGGCCACTGTGGAAAACGAAGGGTTCTTATATAAAGATTTAGCAGGACCTTTAAAAAGTAATTGTAGCCAGAAGGATACATTATGTAGCTGTTTTAAGTAGAACGCTACAACTCACGGGATGTGGGCTCTCAGATAAAATGCCTCAATTTTCATACTACTGTATCTGACCAATTTAAATAATTTTGAAGAATGGTAATATTAAGAAGGTAATTTGTAGGACTACGTACAAAAATTTGAGCTCTGTTGAGTGACTAGAAATAAAGAAAATCCAATCAGTTGGTGGTCTCTTAGTTCTTAAGTGCTCAAAATTTACTCTACTGCTACACATTTGTAGTTAAAGCTAAGTTTCTTTGGCAAACTTTGATTGATGCTTGCTTCTGATGATTATAATAACAAATTTTAACTGATGTTCTTTTTTTATTGATCGAAATCGATCTTTCTTTCTAATAATGACGTTTAATTACGTAATAATATTAGATAATTTACGTTACAAGGAGTTAATTACAAAATACCGACTCCATTCGGGTCTGTTTATAAACACAGACCGTTAATAATATGTTTTATTGAGTAAAAGAAAAAGATATTAAAAATGATGTTGATTTTTTAGATCTAATTATTTTGTTTTATATTTGAACTTCGTAAAATTATTCAGTACTTTTTTTGATACCTCTATTTTATTTTTTTATTTTTATTTTATTTACTTAGGTAACAAACGGTCTCTAACAGTAATATTTGCTTAAATTAAATAATGTATTAGTAGTCTATTGTTTTAGTATTATCATTACCATTATTTTTGTGTAGTTTATTAACAATTATCAAGAATATAGTCCACTATTAAATAACACTCAAGCGATCCTATTGCATATACTTTCATTTCGAAGGTCCTTAATGTTTTTAATGTGGTTTTTATACGTAATTATTACTGAGAATTACATAAAGCAGGATATTGCTTTAAACATTATTTAATGCAATAATTTTTGAATATAATCTTAAACTACAAATTTTCTGCATAAAATGCATCAACTATTTGCATTTTATAATGAGTTTTTTTATACACTCATACCAATTAGCCAAGTCCCAAAGTAAGTACTGTAGGCTTGTGTTATAGGATACTCGGGTAGCGGATAGAATACATATACTGATACATAATATTAGTAGATTTATATAGAAATACATATTTAACATCCATGACTAGTGTACAAATGCTCGTATTCATCATACAAACATCTGCCCCCACCGGGATTCGAACCCGAGATCTCTCGAGTAGGCACCTTGTAACCCAGCGTACAAACCACTCGGTCACGGAGGTACGAGTAGTTGGGCTGTGATATATCACATGAATTAGTTTAGAGTGTTTCGATCGAGGGCCCACTTCCACTTACTTACTAGAGCCTATTATTTTGTAGTGGTAGAATATAATAATAATAAATATATCTTTATTCAAATAAGGTCATACATTGCATAATAATACTAATAATAATGGATGGTACAAAATAATATATTAACCTCTTAGTCACAGGGTAGCATTTCGACTACTTATGCTTAATTTTAAAGCTTGCAAAAGAAACTTAGTTTTAATTACAAATTTTTAGCAGTAGAGTAAATTTTGAACACCTAAAAACCGAGGGCACACCAACTGATTGGATTTTCTTTATTTTTAGTCACTCAAAAGAGCTAAAATTTTTGTATGTGGTCCTACAAATTACCTTCTAAATATTACCAGTCATCAAAATGGTTTCAATTGGTCAGATACAGTAATATGAAAATTGAGGCGTTTCATCTGAAGTCCACATTCGGTGAGTCGTAGCGTTCGACTTATAACGGCTACAAATTTATCCTTCTGGCTACATTTTTTTTAAAGATCCTAATAAAATTTCATGTTTACGAAACCGACGTTTTCCACTGTGGCCTCTCGGAGGGCATGCACACGTTTTATCAAATGAAAATTGATTCCTCAAAATAACTGAATTTACTGTAATTTCGTTCCAGGCGCATGTTTCCCGTAGTGAAGGTTACTGCCAGTGGATTGGACCCTACTGCGATGTACACAGTTCTATTAGAATTTGTCCAAGTGGATTCCCATCGATGGAAATATGTTAATGGAGAATGGGTATGTTTTTTCAGCTTTATCTATTTTTAACAGACTTCATAATATCCTACTACGCTTATAAATGTGGAAGTTTTGGGAGGGATTTGGCATACTAATACCTAGTTCATTACTTGAATTGAGACATAGGATACTTTTTATCCCGAAAAAATGTAAGGCTCCTGAAGGATTCTCGAAAATCTAAAGTTTCGCGGACGAAGTCGAGCGGCCGCTAGTACAACTATTGGTTATGCGGACGACCTAACAATTCTGATAAATGGGAACGGCGAAAATGTCCTTTGCAAAGTTATGCGTTCAGCACTTCAGTTTGTGGAAATGGTGTGACGAACATCAGAAAACCCGAATAAGACAGAGCTTGTCTTTTTCACCAACAAAAGGAAGTTACCAGAACTACAGTTGCCAAAACTGTTTAATACCAAACTTTCCCTATCAACGTAAGTGAAATATCTAGGCATAATCCTTGATAACAAACTGAATAGGGCGAGTCATATCGAATCAAAAACAAAGAAGGCCTGCATACTTCTAATCAGTGCAGAAGACTTGTTTGTAAAAACTGGGGTCTTAGTCCAAAGATCACTCTTTGGTTATACACAGTAGTAATCAGGCCCTCAATAATCTACGGTTCAGTTGTATGGTTGTCCAGGACCCAATTGATTGATGCTGATACTGCTGACTGGAATTGCAGCCGGGACCTAGGGCGTAACATACATTGTAAGGAACGATCAATAATACATTTTTAACTACTCATCCTCGCAGCTATCATGAAATTTGCTAAACTTCCGTGATCACAGACGCTACTACGTTATCGAACTCCTCTCAGACCTAGAGTCTGATATTATTTTCAACATGACAATTTAAACTAAAAATAAGCACTTGGTAGACATATAAACCACAAAGTGATCAAATGAGAGTTTTTTCTTTTTGAATAACGGTACGGTACCGTAAAAAAACAATCCACGAACATTAAATAACATCATCATCATACATAGCTGAAAAATTTATGTGCGCGTATGAGAAAGTTCATTTTTGTACGTAGAAATAATTTTAGACCTGACTATTGGAACCCTAGACAAGTGCAATTCTTTCTTTTGTTTTTCTCATGTTAATGCTTAAAAACTACAATACAAAATTAGTATATTACAATTTTGTCATTGTTGCGACGTAATTTAAAACGTTAGCGTTCAATCGAATGGGAAGATGACCACTTGTCGACGGCACGTCTGCAATGATGCGAAATTATTATTTAAATATTTATTGTAATTTGATAAAAAATATCATTCTTTGATTACATAATAAATTTGCATTGATTTTAGGTGCCAGGTGGTAAAGCTGAAGTCCCTCCTTCGAATGCTATATACATACACCCTGAAAGTCCGAATTTCGGGGCACATTGGATGAAAGAACCGATATCATTCGCTAAAGTAAAACTAACAAATAAAACCAATGGAAACGGGCAGGTGAGACATAGTTTCCAAGATGATTCGATGATAGTGTGTGTACTCAAATCCGATTGTGTAATGTTTGTTTAAAATGCAAACACGGCAAAAGTAACCAAAATTTTAAGGTGTGTAGTGTTTGTATATCTTGCGTTCAAATTGAGTTTCGATCGTCGATTTCTAAACAACACGTATAAAGGCTGCTCCATATTCATCCGACTTTGTCTGGACTTCGTATAATCGGTCCACAGTCCTTATTGACAGAATACTAATGCCGAATGGTAGAGACCTGTGATACGATACGGAGGTGCTACACTGCTACAGTTTCTAAGCTACCGCTAGTTCATAGAAGCCAGTTCTCACGGTTGAATGTGGTGCGAATGAACATGAGAGCAAACACCTGATGTATCCAGATCCATATGTTGACGGGTCGGTGTGAAATCTGTAGCTTTACCAACTGTTTAGCGGGTGCCTATGCGCACTATCATTTGTAATAATTATTGTCTCAGCGCTATGTTTACATTACACATCATTATATGTTAGATGCTATTCTCATCTATGTGCATATATTAATTTCTTTATTTTCTCTATTCGCATATGATTAGTGATACTTATGTGTGAAGTATAATATTAATTTACTACTTATATTGTATTGTGGTTTCTGTTAGAAGGTGCTAAAACAAATTTTGCTACAATTATGAAGTAGATAAAATATACAAAATCAATGTAAACTTATTAACTCTTTACTATATGTGCAGAGAACTGGGTACTATAATTATCTCGTATAATTGGCGCCCAACGTGGCATTTATTATAGTTCTGTTTTGTTTTCCATTTAAGTGCCGTTATTAAACTTTGTTTATTATTTACAGATAATGTTGAATTCTCTCCATAAATATGAGCCCAGGGTTCATCTAGTAAAAGTGGGGACCGATCTTCGCCGCATTATGACGTACCCATTCCCTGAAACGCAGTTTATAGCAGTCACTGCTTACCAGAATGAGGAGGTTACTTCGCTGAAGATCAAGTATAATCCGTTCGCAAAAGCTTTTTTGGACGCCAAGGAGAGGCCAGAGGGATACTACCAGAGAGATTTTGTAGGAACACACTATCCACAACAGACTTCATCACCACATCAGTATCCTCAATGTGAGTTTTAAACTTAGATTAAAACAAAAAGGGAAGATATGGCCCTCGTGGCTCAGAAGTAATCCATTTCAATTATGGTGCATGGCCACAATTAGCTTTAGTCACAATTGGACATCCAAACACGATGCATGTGCAATCAATATAGCAATATTGCGTATATTCTGTGTTATAAAAATAAAACATTGCCTTCGATGCTTTTATAAGGAACACAAATAGTTCAAGATCAAGTAACAAATGCCACGGCAACACTTTTCATTCATAAATCTATAAAAACATTATTAGTTATTGATTCGACATTTTTTAATCAACATAAGGACAACAATACATCTCGGCCGTCTGTAGAGAGGGAAAAGAAAACGCAGTCGGCTGCTAAGCGACGCAGGCTCGCGTCGATTCGCTCTCACTGCGTTGAAGCGTACAATTCTGTCTCGCTCGCTCGTTTGAATGTTTATTTACAGATGTGCGTGTGTGAGAGTTGATAATATATTATTTGATACCAGTATGAGCGTACCGTATCTTCCCTTTTTGTTTTAATCTAAGGTTTTAAATGACGAAACGACGTTTGAGATGAAGATATATACATTTAATTGACTTTCATGATACTTAATGGACTCCCTCTTGGAAGAGTCTTAGCTGATCTGGAAATGACCACAAAGATTAAAAATAACGAAATGGCGAAAGAGTTTTTATTAGTTTTTTACGTGCTCAATGGTACTAGATGTCCTAAGTTACGTGATGCATTGAGACATTGAAGTGTAAAACTATGCAGGTATCTAGTTACTTCCTTTAATCATTGCTCACCACGAAATATGTAAATCAGTCTTTATGTGTCGTTACGTTAGTGATATGTTTAACGTGATCATATTGAGTACCTAATATAAGAATCCCTCTCATGCCACTACATAGCTTTTAACGTTAAATTGGCAGAATTGTGCATAATAGCACAGACGAGGCATCAAATGTCATAGAACGAAAGAAGAAAAAGAACATAAATATTTTAGGTAATATTTTTTTCCAAATCTTACCTATACGTGCTTATACGCTTGTATCCCATAGATAGAGCAACACCCGCGACCGTGTTGCTTTATGCTAAACCTAGATGCGATTCTCCTTTACGTGGAACATTCGTCTTACAGTCGGTGGATGGTTTGTAGCGTCGCAGTCGCTGTACGGCGGCAGTAACGCGGCGTCGCGGAGGCCGGCGCCCTACCCACCGCGACCACCCTCCCGCCCGAGGACTTTGTCACCACCATGTGAGTAGATTACTTGGAACATTCATCTTACAGGCGGTGAATGGTATGTAGCGTCGCAGTCGCTGTACGGCGGCAGTAACGTGGCGTCGCGGAGGCCGGCGCCCTACCCGCCCGAGGACTTGGTCACCATCATATGAGTAGATTACTTGGCACATTCGCCTTACAGTCGGTGGATGGTTTGTAGCGTTCCAGTCGCTGTACGGTGGCAGTAACGTGGAGTCGCAGAGGCCGGCGCCCTACCCGTCCGAGGACTTTGTCACTACCCTGTGAGTAGACTACTTGGCAGATTCGTCTTACAGTCTGTGGATGGTTTGATGGTTTGTAGCGTAGCAGTCGCTGTACGGCGGCAGTAACGTGGCGACGTGGAGGCCGGCGCCCTACCCGCCCGAGGACTTTGTCACCACCCTGTGAGTAGATTACTTGGCTCATTCGTCTATTAGTCGCTGGATGGTTTGTTGCGTCGCAGTCGCTTTACGGCGGCGTAACGTAACGTCGCGGAGGCCGGCGCCCTAACCTCCGCGACCACCCCCCGGTCTGAGGAGTTTGTCGCCACCATGTGAATATAGCTTACGTTGAACCCGTGGTTAAACAGCATGACGAGCAGTCGCGACGACGTTGTTGACCGTCGTCAATATTTATTTTGTTTCCTTTTCAGTGTTTTTTTCGCTATGAAATCATGGTTATTATGTATCCGCAGTACCTATACTGCGTTTTCCGCCAAATACAATCTTTTTGGCAAGTTAAATCCCTACTCACATTTATCGATCAGACACCAACAAGTTAAAGTGAATAAAGACGGGAAGTGAATAAGAAGATCGAGCGGGAAGAGCTAGTAAACTTTGTGAAGAAAGTTTTAGGGTTGTAATCAACAAGTGAGGAGCTCGATAGCGCATTTGGCTGCGATCGTTAAAGTTAAGCAACTTTCGCAGTGGTTGGTCATTGGATGGGTGACTAAAAATTTACTATCTCGAACTCTTCCGTGTTTCGAAAGGCACGTAAAGCCGTTGATCCCGGCTGTATCTGCAGTCGTCATCACACACCAATCCGCATTGGGCCCGCGTGGTGAACCATGACCCAATCTCCCTATTCCGTCCATAGAGAAGCCTTCTGCCCCAGCATTGCGGACATTGATAGGCTGATGATGATTAATCAACAAGTAGTTATCAGGTCATATGAATCGTTATGTTTTCTTCGCAGCCACCTACAGCACCCCGGAACGTACGACAGCTGCGCCGAACAGCAGTGGCTACACCTGGGCCAGCAGCAGTGGGTACTGGAGTTCAGCGCAAGGCAGCAGTTCGCCGCAGCCTACCACCTCTCCGGGGCCGTACCGAACACCTCCTCACGCGTACCCCGCACCTCTAGAGTACGCGCCGCCAGTCAGCACCACTGCCCCTGCGTCCGGCCCTGCACCCATATACCCCCTCCAGTATGAGGCATCACCGCAGCACCACTCCCCTTATTACCAGCATGCTTACGCGCCTTACGCTCATCATGCTATTGAAGACATTTCCTACTGGCCTAATAGGTAGGTGTGGTCTAAATTATGCAAGTCTGTTAAATTTGTTACTTAATTCACTGTCGTAAATATGACGAGTTAGTTTTTCGGGGCGGTTTCCTCACTTAGACCTAATTATTGGACCATTGTGCGTCATGACGATATGTAAACATAAAAAAAATTAGGTAAACCATTCCAATGCCAATTGGGTTATTAGTTCATGAAGCAGAGATAAAGCAACATTGTTGATATTTCGGAACAATTTGAGTATAGTCATCAATAATTAAAGTACATTACATTACGTAAATTTTAGTAGGAACTGTGGTAATTCTCCTACTATGGACAATTATTGGGCAGCGTAGCGTCGGAGGAAAGACAGACGTTGTCAAACACAGGTTTCTTATACTTGTTCTATATATTTTTATATCATTCACTTTTTCACCATAATTTATATTCAAATCACAATCGTTAGTTCGGCGGCGGACATAAGAATGTCCTTTATTATATTGTTTGTCAATTATATTCAAATTATTATTTACTAGCGGTCCGTCCCGGCTTCAATTAAATACTATGGAAACATAATGAATCAGCATCCGAAAAAAGAAAACAGAAATCTACTAGATAATATTTGTGCAAAATTTGCAATTAATAAATAGGCCCAAGGGATAAGATTTTAAAAACAAACACATTTTGCAAATTTCACGTTTAAGAGACTGAATTTCAAAAAATCTCATCTTATTATTTGTCTATTCAGTAATAAGAATCCACTGTCCAAATTTCATCATTCTAGGTCTAGCCGTTTCGGCTGTGCGTTGATGAGTCAGTCAGTCAGTCTGTCAGTGGTGTCAATTCTAGCATGATTCTCTAAACCTAAACTTAAATTTGACAGCAGTATATCCTTGTCATTCTCTATACAGAATAAAGAAGAGAGACTGAATTTAAATTTAGTTTTAAGTTTAGAGAATCACGCCAGAATTGGCACCAGTGTATCCTTTTTTCTCTCTTTATGCCTATAATAGTATAGATGAAGCAAAGCTGCCAGCAGTTGGCAGTAGACAAGCAAAAAGGATGGTATCTAACGCTGCGGGCGTTACAGTACATACTTATATTCTAAAATAATTTTAACAAAATCAATTTTTTTAAGCATGCAATTGCTTGATGTTTAAACCTAAAGCCTTGACGGCCGCGTCGAAATTCCTCTAGCCATTCTTAAGCTGCAAGGCAGCGCCATCTCTTCGCATTGTAGGTAACCCACAATGTCAAATTAATACTTTTACAAGTATTAAACATTTGAAATATCTCAATTTCCTTTTCCAGCTACAGTTACCAGCCGACGGAGTACGTCGGTACGGGTGAAGTGGTTTACAGCGCAGAGGGCATGGCATTCCCGACGGGCTCATCCGTAGAGGCGGCTGGGGAAAGCCGGACTTCTCCCCCCGGCTCCGAGCACCAAGCAGGCGAGAGGGAATACAAGTTTAGTGCGGAAGACGGCCGTCACTCCCCCTGCGAAGACAGCGGACTACCACCTAGGTCCCCGCCTCAGTGATTGTTTACGCTTACGGCCAGTTTCAATAATCAACTGTTGATAAGAAACGAAACCAGATTATCCTTACCTTTCATTGAGGCTGATTATTGAATCTGGCCGTTAGTGTACTATGTGGTGTTAAATAGACAATATTATGAGTATTAAAAGTGAGTGACAACAAAACTAAATACAAACATGTAGCGCTTTATATTGTAAAAAATGTAAAGGATGGTTAAACTTATAATTTAGTCAGTTTTATTTTATTGTATCACCTAAAATTATTGGAAAAAATAGTCAGAAACTAAATGCTGTCATTAAAATGTCATAATTTAATATTTTTACCGTAACTAGTTATTACTGAAGAAACATTTAAAAAGGAATTGCATAATATCAAAACTCTTTGCATAATATTCGTTATTCATAGATGAATGATTGGTCTCGCTTCACTCCACTAGATACCGCCGGCGTACTTATATAATGGGGCAACAAATACTATGCCGAAATCGGCATACCCGAGCCTTCACCGTGTCAGTCACATTGACAGCTGCGCTTTAGGTGTTAGTCCCGAATATTTTAATCAATTTAGAGCAAAATCCGCAGCAAAATGCCAGTTTGTGTTCTGAAACTTTGTAAGAATAATAGTTCAAAAAATAAAAAGGACACTGGGATCACATACCATCAGTAAGTATCTTTTAATTTCGAAATTTCGATGTAAAATTTCATGAAAAATAATCGTCATTTGGTGTTGCCAAGTACGCAATATAAAAGTCCCTATGGTTGAGATTTTTATAATATGAATATATACTGTTATATGACCCATTTCATTTGACCTCTTTATGAAATACAAACTATTCGTGTCAGTAAATCTACAACTTTTGTATCGACACTTTTTTCACATAACCTCAAAATTTATGTGAAAAATTCGAATAACCGAGTTTTTGGTTTTTTATTTTTTGCAAAAAATATTTTTCACGAAGTTTAGTAAAAACTTAACTTTGTATGTCCCAAACATACAGTAATTTTTTTGATTTAAAATATTCTTTTTTTCACCTTATTTTGACTTAATATCGAAAAAGCACCCTAATTTTCAATCGAGAATTCTCACGTCAAAAAATCTGCTTTTTTAAAAAAGTTGGTGTGTTTTTTGTTTGTTGAAATCTCTACTTTCTGATGGTATAAAAAAATATACACTACTATGGTAAATGTTCTCAGAAACTGCAAATTAATAATGAAAAAAACTAGAATCCGTTTTTTTTTTAATCATTATGTATAATTTTGAGCTATTTATTTACACTTTAATTACTCGAAAAACGTAAAATTTCATGTTATACAAATATGACTCCATTACATTTCGAAGAAAGAAAATTTGCAAAAATTAGAAAATTTTAAAAGGCAAATTTATCGTAAACTTGTGCAAGTTAGTGGGCATATAATTTTTGTTTTTTGATAATAAACTTTATTCTTGCGTTAACCTGCTCATTTTAATAGTTTTAACTATATATATTGTTATTATAGTTTTATTTCAATTTCTAGTGTCTGCATGGTTAATAATAATTATAAAACTCAACACTGGTGTCGATTCTGGCATGATTCTCTAAACTTAAAGTCAGTCTCTCCTTTTCATTCTGTATAGAGAATGACAAGGATACACTGATGTCATCAAGTTTAGGTTTAGAGAATTAAGCCAGAATCGACACCAGTGACTTTAAAGAGTTATAAAGATACTGGTGCCAATTCTGGCACCTGATTCTTCTCTGATTCTCTAAACTTAAAACTTAATTTAACATCAGTCTCTCCTTTTCATTCTGTATAGAGAATGACAAGGATATACTGCTGTCAAATTTAAGTTTAGGTTTAGAGAATCATGCTAGAATCGACACCACTAAATGTATAATAAATATTTATATATATCGAAAGTCTCACATCTATTAGCCTAGCTCCCGGGACCTATGACCTATGAAGGCCGACACCATCAAAACTGGCGTACATACCACTCAGACTATGGCGGCACTTATAAGAATTTGTAACCAAACTATTGACAGGTTGGATAAAAATAAAGAAACTAACTATGCGAGCGTGATAAAATTATAGGATTCGCGCCTCCGTGCATCACGTATATTTGCAAAAAAAATACTAAAAATGATATATATTCATTTAATATGTACGGATTTTGTAATTGGTATTGTTAGTGTGGATCGACAACAACATAAAATATTTTCCCTATTACTGGGGTAGCAGTTGAGCAGCTGGCTACATTTTTTTTGACATATGACACCGTCCTTGCAAAGTGACATACACACACTACAATAAATAATGAGTTGCCCCTTAACCGGAGCTGTTGTTTTTTGATAGCGCGGTATCTAGTGGAGTGAAGCGAGACCAATCATTTATCTATGTCGTTATTGTTTTCTCATTTCTGTTAATTGTCATAAAATATGTATTATTCAGGTGCTTTTTAGATATTTCATTCAAATAAAGTGTAAATATTATTGTAATAATTTGAAATTAGATTAATAGGTGAATTTAGTTTTTATTTAATTTACTTTATGTAATTGTAACGAATGTAGCAGAAAAAGCTAAATATTAATATTTACCATCATCCATTTTTAAGATTGCCTCTTAGGCACTTAAGTAAATGTTCAAAGCTTAAATCGCAATTGTTTCATTTTACACAAAAATTAAACAAAATAAACAAAACGAAATACTGGTTAATTACATTATTCTATTTTCACCAGACCAGGTTCTCAGTGTACCAAACTTCCCAATTCGGAAACTCATTAAAGGGAAAGAAACCGCCGAGAGTGAAGGTGAGGCCTTAATCTCGACGATTTCAGCCCAACACTGAGTGAGAAAAACATGAAGTTCACCAGTAGAACGACCGTGATGGAAACCGTTTTTGGTCGTTAGTTAAGTAATTTTTCTGATGCTCCTCAACGCACCTCAAAAGGCGGGTGTTGGTGACCCACGCCATTACCTTAGCTTAGAGAGCAGGCATGTAATCGCCGCGGCGCGGCGGGTCTGTAATTTAAAGAGTCAGATTGGTCACCCTTCTAGGAATATGGTGGATGTGAGCAACCTTCCATGAAGTTTGAACGGGATTTTGTTTGTAGGAAAGGCGATATAAGCGCGTCACGACGAGGGTAAGCTCGGGGGCTCATATTTTTAGTACCACTGCAGGGTTGTCGTCAGGCCCACACGACTTGTGAACGCTTCACTGCATTAAGTTCTCGCCAAACTGCCCGCTGGGTGATGCGGATTTCTGGCATAGAACTTCCACAATGTATTAATGGGGGCACAGTTGCCCCATCATCTTGTCCTTCACACCGAGGGCCATAGCGCAATCAGGTTTACACATTACAACCCGGCAAAAGTTACCTTCCGCAGCTTTGGCAAGGGACCAAAATACACGGCTCCCGGAAAGAGTCCTTTTACAAAATTGCGCCGCTGCAGTTTAGCTAAATACGGCCACTAGTCAGTGGGAGTCGCTCGCACAAGCGAGACATCGACGCAGTGATGTTCAGTATAGTGCGCTTTAAGATAAGATAAGATAAGATAATCATTTATTGTCCAAAACTGTGTACAAATGGTTCTTAAAATTTGGTAGTGCTAACAGTTTGCCCATTTCGGGCGTACAATTAATAATTAATTAAAAATAATTACATTAAAATAATATTTAGTAATTAAATGTCAGCTACATAAAATAATATTAAATTTACTCTCTAAACTATATTCATACAATCATAAATTAATCAGTTATGTCAAAATTATACATAAATTGCAATTTTATTGTCAATGATCATTGAAATATTCGTCCAAACTATAAAAACATTTCGATAATAACCAGTGCCTAAGCTGTGTCTTGAATCGTTTACTTTCTAAAGCTTTAATGGAATTAGGTAAATGATTAAAGACCTTGATTCCAGTTGTTATGGTACTTTTGTTACATATATAACTAGATGACTTATAAATACATATATTATACGCATATTGCAATCGCAAGTTCTTTTTCACTTTGCTTTTTGATAAAAAATGGTCTTTATTTTCTTTTACAAATACAGAAATTTCAAAAATATAGATGCATGTCAGAGTTAGGAACTTAAAATCTTTAAAAACATTTCTCAGTGATTCAAATTTGTCAAGTTTTAGCATGTTACGCAAGCATTTCTTTTGTAATATAAATGTGGACTGTACATTTACTGAGTTACCCCAAAAAATTATACCATACATCAAAAGTGGGAAGACATACCCATAATATGCACTCTTTGCTGCTTCCACTGAAGCTACATTTGACAGAATAGATATAGCATAGCAGCTGCTAGAGATTTTCTTATTTATGTCCTCAATATGCGATTTCCAGTTCAAATGAGTATCAATGGTAACACCCAAAAATTTATTGTCTTGCACATTCTCTATTTGCTTATCATCGATAACAATATTTAACTTTAAAGGCATTTTCTTATAATTCCTAAACTCCATCAGCTTTGTTTTCCCAATGTTTACTTTTAAATTTAAAGAAGCTAGCCACTCTACTATTACATACAGTGTTTTATAAATTTCATTCACAAAATCAGCATCATTTAATTTGTCATTTGTCAAAAATATTGTCGCATCATCAGCAAACAAAACACATAAGTGTTGAATGATCAGCGGTAGCTCGTTTATGTACACTAAAAATAGGGGCGGCCCGAGAATGCTTCCTTGCGGGACGCCTAAAAAAACTTTTTCAAAATCCGATAAGATGCGTACAGTTGTTTTTGATTTAGTGTCAAATGTATCCAATAATATTGCCTGTGTTCTATTTGATAGGTATGACTCCATTAACTTCAAAGCATTTCCCCGTATTCCAATATGTTCGAGCTGTTTTAATAATATTTTATGTATGACACAGTCAAATGCTTTTGACATATCCAGAAACATACCAATACAAGTTTTCTTATCATCTATACCTTTCCATATTTGTTTCAAAATATTAAATATGGCTAATGATGTATTTTTCCCTTTTTGGAAACCAAATTGATTAACATTTATAATTTTGTTTTTATTTAAAAACGATATTATTCTATCGTAAATGACTTTTTCGAATATTTTGGAAAAATTGGACAATAAAGCAATCGGGCGGTAATTATTCATATTATCCTTAGCACCTTGTTTGTAAAGAGGTTTTACTAGAGCTTTTTTCAGATCTTCTGGGAAGATTCCCGTGTCTAAAGTCAAATTTATAATAAAGGTCAAGGGTTCAGCTATAAAATTTACACTTGATTTTATTAATTTCATGGGTATGTTATCATGTCCCATGCTTTTTTTATTTTTTAATGATTTTATAGTTTTCTTAATTTCTTGGACATCAACTGGAGCCATAAAGATGCTGTTTATGTTAGCATGTGACACTAGATTGTGTTTAACTGCATTTTGACGTAGTATGGAATTTTGTAAACTTAAAAAATGGGAATTCATTCGTTTCGCTATGTCATGAGGTTCATTGGTTACAATATCACCTATCCTTACACTTTCTAATGATTCTTTGATAACATTTATTTTTGATGTATTTTTTTTTATAATTTGCCACATACTTTTATTTTTATTATCACTACGTTTCAAATAATTTAGATTTGTATTTATTTTGGATTGTCTGGTTACAGATTTAAGAATTTTGCAGTATCCTTTGTACCTATTTTTAATAACGGAACAGTTAGTACTTCTTTGTTTTAAATATAACTTTCTTTTATTTTTACTAGCAATTAATATACCTTTTGTCTTCCAGTTAGGAGTATCATTATACTTTATTTTAATTTTCTTATTAGGTATACAAAGTTCATAAACTAGATTGAAAATATCAAAGAATATTTTATAAGCATCATTGGGATTATTTTAAGTATATACATCTGTGAAATTAATTTGAGCTAAATATTTCAAGAAGACTTCTTCATACGCACCTATATCTCTTATAATAGTATACCAAAACTTTTCGTTAAAACTTCGACTTGAGAAAACTGAAATTAATTGACATGTATGATCCGATAAACCAACATCTAATACTTCAACAGAATATCGTTTGACATTAGTAATTATATTGTCAATGCAAGTTTGAGAGTGTGCGGTAATCCTAGTAGGGGCAAATATTGTAGCGTGCAACTTATATGACTTAAACATATTCAATAACGATTCACTTCTGTAATTTTTGTCGAGTATATTAACATTGAAATCACCCATGACAAAAACACTCTTGTAACTATTTCTAGCTCTTATCCTGATCTTGTGTAGTACATATTCCATATTGCTGAGAAAAATCCCTATATCACTGTTTGGTGTTCTATATACACATATTACTAGATAATCTAATCCACAGATGACTACACCACAACATTCGAAGTGATTTTCAACTGACATTTCTGAAATCCATTGAATTTCACGACAATCAATAGTATTTTTAACATAAATTGCTACACCTCCCCTGTTTCTACGTTTACGGCAAAAATGAGCTACTATTTTGTATCCATGGATTTGAAATATATTTACTTCGCCATTACTTAAGAAAGTCTCACTGAAACTACATATATCTATATTTCTTTCATGCAATAATATTTCGAGTTGATC